GAAATGCCCGGGTCAATCTCAGGTAGACTTCTTAAAGTTACACAAAGAAAACAGGGAAGGCAGGAGTGGGGTGGGGTTGTCGCTGAGATCGTGTGAGGGTGGGGGAAGACTCTCTCGTAGGAGCCCCACGCCAAGCGGTTCCTGGGGTTCCTGGACCGGGTAGCGCTGACCCCAAGACTTCTCCCCTCCTGATCCACGGGCAGCTTCTTTAGGATTATTTAGAAAATAACACGTAGAAAAAGCTCTGTGGGGGGTGGGGCGGGCGAAAGTGGAAGTGGGAGCAAAGGAAAGCCCTAGCCAGGACTTCAGAGGCCTTCAGCCGCCACTGTAATACCACGGCTCGCCATCCATCAGAAAGAGGAAAGGGGACCCGGTGGTTCTGAATCTCACGCAAAATGGGATAAGGGACGCTATCTTCTAGGAGGCGGCTCCTTCGCCAGGCCTCTGGAACCCGGGGCGCTACCACAGTGCAGAGGCGGATTGGTGGGAGGCTGCTGCAAGATTGAATTATTTAATTTCCCCCAAACCGAATTACAAAGGCCCCTCCAAATAGAACTTTAAAGCTTGCTGAAAACAGACAACAACAAAACCAAGATTTCATTTCGGAGCCGTGACCACGGTGGAGGAGAAAGGGCGTGTGTAATTCCAAAGTGACCCCCAAGCCCGCAGAAATCTGGTGGGGAGTGAGAATCTCTAATCCCCTGAGCAGATCGGTTCAGGTGCGGACTGGACTTGTAGTTTCAGAACTCCACGCCTGACCCAGGTAGCACAAGCCACCCTTACACTGTACTGAGCCCAGCGAACGTGCTGGGAAGCCCTGCCCATTCGCACTTGTTTGAGCCCAGCCTTGGCTGTCAACTGCCCGGAAAGTTCGCTGTTTCGCTGTTTCGGAAGAGGATGATTCTGCTTAAGGAGGAACCCGGACACAAAGCAGCCTCAAGCAATATATCCTTTCTGCCTGCAAGTTAATAAAACCCAAGCGTGAGCCGGCCATAGTGGCACAGGCCTTTAATCCCAGCACTTGGGAGTCAGGGGCAGATGGATCTCTGTGAGCTGGAGACCAGCCTGGTCTACTGAACGAGTTCCAGGACAGCCAGAGCTACATAGTGAGACCCTGTTTCAAGAAATAGAAAAGACCCAAGCATTTGCGGATATGCACTGAGCACCAAGAGAATCCACCAAGGTTGCCCCAACTCCCCAGCCTCCGCTGCTACCTACCCCACACACTAGTTTCCTTGCCACTGGCTCTTCTAAGCAGATTAGTTAGTTCCTACTTTTGTGGGCTGCAGGAGCTATTTGTAGTAACAGAAAAAGGTTATTTGTCCTTCTTCCTTCCTTCCTTCCTTCCTTCCTTCCTTCCTTCCTTCCTTCCTCCTTCCTTCCTTCCTTCCTTCCTTCCTTCCTTCCTTCCTTCCTTCCTTCCTTCCCTCCCTTCCTCCTCCCTCCCTCCCTCCCTTCCCTCTTCATCTCCTTTCCTCCTCCTTAGTTTTATGTTCTTGGATTCTGGATTTTGCAACAGAGGATTAGCACCTCGGTCCAGCCCCTCCTCTCCTTCCAGTAGGAACTGGCTGACCAAGCCAGCTACTTGGAAGCTGAGCTGGGATGGGAACCCGGGGCTTCCCTTTCCCCACTCTCATCAAACACTGCTCTCCCTAGCCCATATGCCATCACTTCTGCTTTTCTTAAGGTTGAGAGGATGACCTCTGGGGGGCGGGGTTCCCACTTAAGATGTTCAAGGTCCAGCAAGTGCTCGGGTTCCTCATCCTCTGGGAGGTGGGATGAGGCTGCTGATGGCGGAAGGAGAGAGGTAACAGCTACCCCCTTAACAGGGTTTCCCTGAGGGTGCAGAGCTTATAAATCCCTTGACTTCAGGGTGCTCCTAAGAGCATGGGCAAGCTTAGAAGAGCCATTCACTGGGGACCTTACTTTGGAGGGGATGCCAAAGCCGTACACTGCAGAGCCTGCCAGAACACCTACCTCTGCCCTTCTTAGGTCCCGCACAGAAAGGCTTCTGATTGCCTGACTCTGGAGGTGTCCTCCATCATCCTTTCCATTCTAGCTTCAAAACACCCCCTTATGAAACCTGCCCTGACAGCCAGCCCCACCTCAAAGGACATTCTCTTCCTTTGATTCATGCAGCCAGAGAGGCTATCCTTGGGAACACAATGGAGGCCTCCCTTCTGAAAAACAGGACAGCCAGCTTGGCAGTGGTGGTGCACACCTTTAATCCCAACACCCAGGGGGCAGAGGCAGGTGGATCCCTATGAGTTCTAGGCCAACCTGGTCTACAGAGCGAGTCCCAGGACAGCCAGAGCTACACAGAGAGACCCTGTCTCAAAACAAACGCAAAAACCAAAAAACCAAAAACCAAAAGAACAAGATAGTGCTAGAGAAAGGAAGGCTTGGGAAGCAATGCCCTCAGAAGTTCATAGCCCCAGTTCTAAGGCATGATTGGAGCCTGGGGAAAGGTGGTCCCACATGAAAATAACATTTACCTACCAAGCAAACTTCCCCAGCCAACCTGAAAAAGAGGGTCTAGTACAGAGCCCCCTCATCAGAGCTCTAAGATTACAGGGTAGAAAACTCTATTCCAATATGCAAAAACTCTATGCCAAAATGCAAGCAGGCATTTTCCTGGAGAAACTAATTTCTGTCCTATGGGGAGGGGGGTTAAAAGCAGATTACTTTTATCCTGTCCAAGAGTTTCAGTAGTCCCTATATATTCCCTGGGGTGTTCTCTTTTTATTTATTTTTATTTTATCTGTAAGGGTGTACTGTCTGTGCACAACTTATGTGCGTACCTGAGAACCAAAGACCAGAAAAGGGTGTCACATGCCCGGGAACTGGAATTGCGTGTGGTTGTGAGCTGCCCTGTGGGTGCTGGGAATCGAACCCAGTCCTCTGGAAGAGCAGTCAGTGCTCTTCATCTCTCCAGGCCCAGTCTTGGCTTTTTCTCTAATAGCTGTCTTCTTTCCCAACACCCTAAGATTGCTACCTTTCCTCTGAGGCCTAATTGTGTGTGTGTGTGTGTGTGTGTGTGTGTGTGTGTGTGTGTGTGTACACAAGTGTGAAGATGGCTTGTACAAGGGATCAAGTGTGTTTGCTTGGGAATCTGTGTGGACTTGTGAGCTAAGGGATAGAACTGGGCCATGGTGGTGTGTGCCTTTAATCCCATCCCTACAGAGGCAGAGGCCATCAGATCTCTGAGTTCAAGGCCAGCCTGGGCTACAGAATTAATTTAGGACAGCCAGCACTACAGAGAAACCCTGCCTCTAGAAACCAAACCAAACCACAGCAAAATAACTGTCTCTCATTATGTGAAACTGCATAGGTATGTGGGGGAAAGGTATCTTCCATAGGGTCGGTACATGAACATATATATTTATATGTTTGGATTGCCTTATTTTTGAGACCGAATATCAGTGATTTGGCTTGTAATACATATGTTGAAGGCAAGCACAGTGCTTTTTAAATTAAAAAAAAAAAGTTACACTTCTTTGTTTTTGTGTTATGTGATGTGTGTGGGTCCATGCACAACAAAGCCCACATGTGGAGGTCAGAGACTGACTCTTGGGAGTCTGTTCTTTCTCCACGTGGGTTCTGGGGCTCCAACTCAGATTGTCAGTTTTTATTGGCAAGTGCCTTTATCTGCTAAACCATCTCATCAGCTTTAATACTGATGAGTAGAGTATTCAAAGAGTCGCTCATATTTGGATATGCAGATGTATATGCGCCACACCTTAAAGTCTGGGTTCCCGCCTGGCAGTGGTGGCGCATGCTTTTTATCGCAGCACTCAGGAGGTGGTAGGCAGATCTCTGAGTTTCTGGCCAGCCTGGTCTACAGAGCGAGTTCCAGAAGCAAAGGCTACATACACAGAGAAACCCAGTCTGGGCGTAGGGGAGTGGGGGAGGGGTGGTTCAGGGCCCGAGTCTGTGATTGCAGGTTCATTAACGAGCCTCTTTTCGTAGAGAGATATTTGTATATGACAGCATCTATGTGGTGCTTAGGTGACGTCCCCGTGTATTTTTGCACATGTGGCAACAGATGCTTGCATGCATGGATACATGTTCATCAAGGCCTTGTTCAGAGGCAGGTCCTGCATACAGCCTGGAAGTGCAAAGGAGCTAGCCATATTTTCTGTGTCCTCTCAGGAGCCACTAAACTAGATTCACCCCCACTCCCAGGTTTTGTCCCAGTTCATGCGAGGCTACAGTTTGAGCAGAGTGCCAGGAAAGGCGGGGCTCAGGAAAGGCGAATCCCAGACAGCAGATTCCCTCCCGCAGCCTCAAGGGCCTGCAGGAGCTGTGGTGTCGCAACCAAACCGGGGCCCCTGGCGGAAGCGGAAGCCTGCACTGGGGGTGGTGAGGCGCAGTCGCGGCGGTCGCGGCGTGCCAGGCTCTGGGCACCCGGCGGGGGCGTGCGCGCCACGCGCGTGCGGGGCAGGCTGGGCGCCAGGCGGCACCCTCCAGGCCCCAGCGTCTGTTTACCAACAAACTGCCATCGCTCAGCAGCTACGCATTCCGACGCGCTGAATAAGCGGCCGGCGCTGGCGATCTGCTTTCCACTCCCTCGCAGAGCCAAGGCAGCGTGGGGCCGTGGGGACCCGTGCGACCCTCAGAGCGCGGGCACAGGTTCTGAGTCCGCGCAGCGTCCCTAGTCACCGTGCATCTCCCCACGCTTCTTGGCCATCCCAGGCCCAATTTCCTAGCACTCTGGACATGGTTACCGAGATTTCCTGACTCCACTTGTCCCCCAGCAGCTTGGAGTAGGAGCCGAGGTGCACCGCCCGGAGCTCATGCACTGTACCTCTCCGGTTTCCCCGGTGTATGCTAACTCGGGGGCGGGCCCATGAGGTCACCGTGCGATAGCCAATCCCCGGTGTCTAAGTGGGCGGGGGACTCCGTGTGGTCCCGGGAACCGAACCCAGAGGAGAAGATGGGGGCCCAGAACTTGGGGGGAGGGGAAAAGCCATGGGGCACCCACCAAACCCCTTTCTCGGATGCGAGCTCTCCTCCAGAAGAGGATCCGAGATACATTTTCCCTGGGATCTGAAGTGTGGGGGTGGCTTGCTGGGGGTGGGGGTTCATCTGCCTCAGTTCTGGAGACTTTGAAAGGTGTTGGCATAGAGAGTAGACGGCGTGCAGGGCCATGACCTAGGCCCTGTGGCCTGGCACGGGCCGCAGTGACCTCTTTACCCTGTCCCCTTCCTGGCCGCGATACCTCCAACGTTGTCTTCCCGGACCTCGCCCCCGCCCCGTCGGTAGTGGCTGCCTACCCGCTTGGCTTGTCCCCCGAAACCGCAGCTTCCCCCTATTTGCCCTACTCCCAGCCCTATGGCCACCTCCTGTCCTTTTCTTACCCTGGGCCAGCAACCCCAGGAAACTCCTACCTGGCCAGCCAGCAACTCTCGGCGGCGCGGCTCTTCCCTTCCACCGGCCAGCTGAACGCCCGCAGGAACTTGAAGCAGGTAAGTGTGGCCGCGGAGGCTCTTCTCACTCTTGGGGCCTGAGTTATGTTTTCATAAATTTCGCCCTCTTCTGCGTGCACGCAGCTAGCGGGATTCAAATGTTAACTCGGATTCCACGGAATCTGCGGTGGGGGGGGGGGGGAAGGGATGGGGGAGGAGCGGAGGAGCAGATCTAGGTTTCCTTTTAAAAATCCGACCTGGTTTCGATTTGCAGTTATGTGAAGCCAGCGGGGAGGGCCCCCTACCCCAACCCCCTGGAGCAGTGGAGTTGTGCGTGTACCCAAGTGTAACGGAAAACTGCTTGAATCTGGATATGGGAGTGGAGCCCTAGCTCTTTTCCCGCGATTCTCCCCATCCTTCACCCCCTTCCCGACCTCAGCCTTCTCAAGTCCTGGTCCCAGAAACCAGCATGCAAGCCAAACCCCACTAAACAGAAATCAGTTCCCAGCTGGAGGTAGGTAGGCAGCTAGGCGGGGCTCCTTCTCGGTTTCTGGGCCCCACCCCCTTTTTTTTTCTAGAGGTGCCTAACCTTGTCTGGTAGCTGGCCCCTGAAGAATCTGGGTGTAGGACCCGACCAACCATTGTTCAGAGCATGAAGTTACAGCTTGGTCAGTCTCAAGGTCTTTCCCTGGCCACTTGAGCCTTTCACTTAAGCCAATCCTACCACCTTCACCCTTAACTTTGGAATAGAGCAGGCCCAGTTCCTACTGCTGCTTGCAGCAAGTCTGAGCTCCAGAGAAAGGGCTCGCTGGAAGGCCTCGGTGAAGGCAGGACTAGCTGGCCTTCCTAGGCCTGACCTTCGCATAGCCGAACCGACTTCTCAATCCCATTGCATTGCTCTGGTTGTCCTTGGCATAGTCCCCAAAGATGCACATCTCTCTGCCAGAGGACTTCATAGTAGTCACCCCCAAACCAAGATGTTTCTCTCCTTTTCTCTTGTTACTCTGACATAAATTCATGAACCTCCCCAGAAAGGGAAGTCACCCTTAGAATGGGGTCTCCAATTCCTGGTTTTATGGTTGGAGAAACTGAAACAGGGAGAAAGGATGCAAATTCACTTTCCTTGAGGAATGGAGCCAGGAAAGGGGATTTTAGGGAACTTCTTAGAACCCCAGAAAGTTGACCCTTTCTGTGGCAGAACTGGGGGTGGGTCTGCTGGGTTGCTGGGTCTGGTTGGAGGAGAGACAATGGGGGGGGGCAGGGTTTTACATCCCTCTTGGACTTTTCTTTTTAGATATGCTAATATATACTGGGGAAGTAGGATCCTGAGTTTGAGGACAGCCTAAGCAACTTGATATATATGATGGGTGTGTACATGGGGACAATGTGCGTTTTGGGAACCTGACCTTACCTGGGGAGAACTATTCTGGCGATAAGGTGGAGTTGTCGGGTCTGTCTTCCGTATTCTGCCTTCCCTTGCTTGGTCCAAGAACAATAGAGTGGAGAATTCTTTCTATTACACACTTTACCCGGATCCAACGAAAAACCACAGGCGCTCCCGCGTTCACAAGCAAGTACGTCTTTAAAACAGCCCTTAGCACCTCATTGTTGGAACTGTGTGGACCCCCGTTCCTGAATGAATGACCGGAGAATGATAAAGGGCTTAGGGGTCTCCTAAACCCACTATGTGTGCAACTCCGGCCCAGGGAGGCTCTTGGCTCGAAGAGAGCCGAGAGCCTCACCAACACCCGGTTAAGGCTGCGGGTGCGGCGGCCGCGCCTCCAGCGAGGCCCTGAGGATCCGTTATCGTGACCCGGGTAGATCCAGTTGTGACTTGCCACAACTAGTGTGGAGAAAGGCAGCTGTCCCGGAAGGCACCTGGAGGGTGATCTGCTCTGAGAGTCCAAACTTCAGCAGTCCAAACTGTCTTCCTTCTCTCTCTGCGCGTCACCACCCGAACTGCGCGGTCCATGCAGCCAAGGAGGCGCGGGTGGTCGCTTGGCTGCCAGCCCCGGGCGAGCGGTGGGGTCGAAGCAAGAGAGGCGAGGCGGGACAGGCTCGGGCAGGAGCGGAAACCCAATGCCTTTTCTGGGAATCGACTGAGGATGGGTTCGAAGGGTAGGATCTGAGAGCCCGCAGCCCCCATGGCCACGGGTGAGAGATGCGGAGGTGAAGGCAGAGGTGACTGCGGCCTGAGGGCGGGGTGAGTCGGGTGAACCCAGCTAGGGATGGATGGGGAGCGGAAGGACGGAGCTACTCGCTCTTGTCTGGGGTCTTCACAGCAGGCACCCGAGCATTTTGTCATCTTGGGCAGGCATTTTGCCTCTTCATCCACCTACTTCTCTCATCCTGTGGGCAGTCTTAGTAACTCGTAGAGTGGTCCAGGCTGGGACAAAGATTTCAAGAATGGAAACCCAAGGCCTCAATCCTGGCGCTACAACCCGCAGCAGAGCTTGGAGAACCAGGCTGGCAGGCAGGGATGGGGTGGGGGGTGGGGAGGGACAGGACCAGATCTTATGCCGCTGCCCCGCAGCTCGGCCAGAAACGATTTGCATTGCGGGTTACTGCGTTTTCTGGACCTAGTCACTTCCCCTGCCATGAGGGAACAGTTCTGTGCTTGCAACCTAGAGGAAAACAGGGCTATCACACATTAATCTGGCTTCTAGATCCCTGAAAAAGTCTCCTCTGAACCAGCAGACGGTGGGGACGAAAAGGATGGTCACTTTTACTGCAGGGTACGCGAAGGTTCACTTTTCCTCGCCTTGATACTGGCATTCAAGGCAGATTTATACAGACCCCTTTGACACTACCGCTGAGTTTTGAGTATTGCTTTTAGGTTCCTTGGGCCTTGGATTAGCTGTCCTCCTCATTGTCAGACCTTAGCTCAGCCCTCCAGGAGTCTTTTATCCGACTCTGTTCTAAACAAGTACCACGGTAGCTGCTGAACTCCGACCTCCCACTGCGGGAGCCAGGGTATCCTTGCTCAGCGCCCTTAGCATTTTTCTGTTCCAGGGTCTTATAATGGTAGCCTCACCAGGGCAAAAACTGTAGCTTGAATTCACTGTTGCTGGTGGACATATGGGTCCCCCCACTGCATACACATTGAGACCCAGGTTGATGGTGGTGGCTGCGCTGGTTTTGCTGATTCCCCATGGCATGAGTCTATGGAAATACCTGACTTACCTGGTCACTCCACATGCTTACAACAGTCTTCTGCTGCCTCGCAGAATCAGAGAAACCGGTGCTGTCCCTGGAGCCCTGCCAGCAGCCCCTGACCAGGCAGGCAGCTGCACGGACCTAGAACCATCTACTCCAGCCTGCAGCTGCAACATCTGAACCAGCCTTTGCAGCACACACAGTACCCAGCCCTGCCCGAGAAGGCTCAGCGGGCAGCGCATCTTGGACTCACCCAAACCCAGGTAGGACCAATCCCACCCCCGAGTGCAAAGCTTCCTAGTCCCTGGTTTCTGAGAAGTCCCGTGATTCTGCTGACACAGCTCTCCATGGAGTGCCAGTAGCTGATCCGCAGCAAGGGTTGGGGGCATGTACTAGAAGTGAATTGGGCACGAGAAGAGGAGGGCACCCAGACCGGAAGTTGAGACTGAGGGACTTCCAGAACTGGAGGGCTGGAGCAAAGGTTCTCAGGACTCACTCTCTGTAGCTAGGTCCCTTTCCCATTCTCAACTTTTTTACAGGCACTTCTCTTCTGTCCTCGTTTCTTCCCAAAGGTAAAGATCTAGTTTCAGAACAAACGCTGCTCCAAATACAAGAAGCTCCTGAAACAGAACTCTGAGGAGCAGGAAGAAGACTTCTCTGGGAGACTCCCCTCCCTGTCTCCCTGCTCTCCAAATCGTCCATCCATCTGGGATCTACTCAAGGCAGGCGCCCTGCCTACCAGGGGCTCCGACAGTGCCTTCAGAGCCTGGTATCGGCATCAGCCCCCAGATGAGCTGCTTCTGCCTCAGATGATCTGAGTCTGGAGAAGGTCTGGTCAGGCCCCAGCCTTCCTGTCAAGCCCAGGACTAGCACACCTGCTTCCCTTCTGGGGGGAGAGGAAACCAGCTCCAGATGGATTTTCTCAAGACAAGAAGAGAAAGGAGAAGAAAGAACGGAGTGGAAGTCTGGGCTCTCCCAGCCAGACAGCTAAATCAAAGGCTTTCGTCTTTGCAACTGTCCCCAGTGCTGCCGTGGACCTGGCATCTCCCTCCAGTGGGACAAAGGCTTTAGAGAGAGCTTCGCTGGCTAGTGTTCAGGCTGCTCCAGTCTCGACACCCCATCCCTCTTCAAATGACTGCAGCCCCACCACAGCCTAGGATCGAAGCCAGGGAGAAAACAAATATTATTTCTGGCCTGCACCTTGGACCCTACCAGCCTATCCACGAACAAAACCGGAAGTGGACACAGAGTCTCTGTTGTTGGCCACCATAAAGTCCCTGTTTCTCATCTACCGGTTATTGGTGGTGGTCAGCCTGTTACCTCCCTAACTGGAGGTGTGGTCCAATGGTAGAGTAAGTGCTTAACATGTAAGAGGTCCCAGCACCAAAAATATGGAGTGCTGGCCTGTGGGCACTTGGTATTTCTCTCTTTTAAAGGGTCTTCTGTCCCATATCTACCCATTTTGAGTTGACAAGTCCCAGGCGTAATCATCCATCTAATTCAACAGGTATGTGTTAAGAGCACAGGCCCCTCCATCCTTGATGCCCAACAAGTTCAACTGCACATATTCTTGGAAGCCTAGAAGGAGACATGGACAAACATTTCCTGGATCCATTCAGGTATAGCTGCCTCCATAATGGGGTAGGCTTAGCACGTCAGCTCCTCACAGTTGCCTCTATCCAAGAATCTGTCCGAATTCACCATTATTCTGTCCGCATCCCCAGGCACTTGCCATCTCTCAAATCACAAGCTTCAGAGATTAAAATGTATACAAAAAACAAAACAAAACAAAACAAAAACCCTCAGAGTCCTGGGTGTTAGGAATGTTTGTCCCCCTGGAATCATCCTGGTTGTTGCTGGATGCTCATCTTTTCTCTGTCATCGGATACATCTTCCCCTTGACCAGAAGTCATAGACACTAGATTCTTTTTTTAAAAATGATTTATTCTCTTTATTTTATGTGCATTGGTGTTTCGCCTGCACGTATGTCTGTGTAAAGGTATGTGGGTGCTGGGAATTGAACCCGGGTCCTCTGGAAGAGCAGCTGGTACTCTTAACCACTGAGCCATCTCTCCAGCCCAACACTAGATTCTTATTGTGCCTCTGGCACTAGCTAGCTCTGTGGTTCTCGCGCTGGAATGTCATAACAGTGCCCATAGCATCATACGAAATGGGAAGATGCTCGTATAGGGAATGGCCAAGGTCGGAGTGGTCTTCGCCAGCAGTTACCTCCTGTGCCAGCTGTGGAGGGAGTCGGGCACCTCACAGCCACCACGTCCTACCTTCAGGCCAGGCTCACCTTGGGAGAGGACTGAGCTAGACCAGTCCTTCTGGAAGAAGTGAGCTGCTGGGGGTGGAATGGATTCTGACTACAGAAAGGGGTCGGGGAGAAGGAATATTAGAAGGAACTGGAATTCTCCATCTAATACACATCTATGGATCTCCTGCTGGGTAGATCCTAGGAATACCACTGTGACAGGGACAGATGCTTCAGGCTAACATGTGGCTGAACGGATGACTGGAGGCAGTGTGACAAGAGGCACAGCAAAAGCAGGACAGAGGCCATGTGGGCACCGTCCAGAGGCCAGCGTGGGCTGATGAGGTTAGGGCTGGGTGAGAAGGCTGGTCAGCTCCCAGAGCATCAGGACCTGGCAGTACCATGATTCACTTTACGCCACAGCTCCCACCACGCATACAGCAAGAGAGGTGGGCTGAGGACGAGGTCAGTCATTCAGGGAATTCAGCCCAGAGTAGCCCCAGGGGCTGGGGAGGGGCCTCCGATTCCAGGCAAAAGGCTTCAAAGAGTGGCTTCCCTCCCACCGCCTGAACCTGTTCCCAATCACAGCCAACTGAGGGCACCAGTCCCTGCCTGAAAAGCCCAGTAGGGCACTTTGAGCCAACCCCAAGCTAGAAGGAAACTTTGGTTTGGGGTCACAGGGAGGACGAGGGTGGGGGTGGGGTATCAGTGGAAGTGTCTCACCTAGGGATGCCTACAAGCATTCCTTCTTTGCCCCCCACTACTGGGCCAGTGGTCACACCCACTCCCCCAAAGACACACAGAAGATTTCCCTGTGGAAAGCAAACTTCAGATCATGGAGCAGTGCAGAGTGAGCATGCCCACTGGAAAGATCTTTTCTTTTCAGATCGTCCCCCTGGCCCTGAGACCCTGACTCCATTTATCTAAGGGGTGGGTGGCTGGCCCCGATGGATGGCTCCTCTGGGTCTTCTCTGAGGCCAAGGGCCCTGGGGATAGCTGTTCCCTGCCATACAGGCTACACACTTCTCTTTCCACAGAGCAAGATAAGATCTACCGCCCCATCTCGGAAAGCCTCCAAAGGCAGATTAATTGGACAGCCCAACACGAGTCGCATCGTTAAAACAACAGCCTGGGTTGTAAAGTTAAGTAGCAGTACTGTAATTGCTCTCTCAGTCCGCGACCAGCTGAGCCTGGGGCACCCCCCCTTCCCTTACCCCCGTGTGCCCTTTCCAGGGAAAATGAGCCTCTTTTCCATTTGGGAGCTGGTCCAGTTGCCTGGGACTTCTAGGTGGTGATGCATCTGGAGGAATTCCACGAGGAAGGGTGCCTCACCTCCACCTCTCCAGCCACCAGGGTTACTGAGGGGGATCCCCGTGACTTCTTCCCAGGATGAAGCTCCATTTGGGGGACACTGGATCAACAAAGGAATGGGAAGACTGAAGGCAGCCTTTGGTCTCCAAAGAGTCCTGGCAGTGGTGCTTGCTTTGTGACTGTGGGTGAGTTTCTTAACCTCTCTGTGCTTTATTTCTTATCCCCTCAGACAAGAACGGTAATAGGATCGGCTTCGCCGTGTGGCTGTGATGATGAAATAACATGGTGCCCAGAACACAGTGCACACTTTGTAGATGACATTCACGGCGGCGGCGGCGGCTGCGATGACAGCAGGGGACAGCTCACTCAGAGGGTGAGTTCCTAGAACCATCTATTTACCTCTTGCTTAAGTAGATAGCCCTGCCTTCCCAGGGTAGGGAGGAAGGACGGGATTGGAAATATACCCCAGCACCTCTCAACCACCACTGTTGGAAGGACTCAGGCAAGGTCCCCCACTCAAAATGGGCAGCGGCTTGCCCATCTAAAATCAGCAGAATGGGCCGGGCGGTGGTGGCGCACGCCTTTAATCTCAGCACTCGGGAGGCAGAGCCAGGCGGATCTCTGTGAGTTCGAGGCCAGCCTGGACTACCAAGTGAGTTCCAGGAAAGGCGCAAAGCTACACAGAGAAACCCTGTCTCAAAAAACCAAAAAAAAAAAAAAAAAAAAAAAAAAAAATAAAATCAGCAGAATGGGAAGTGTGTCCGGGGTATGTTCTGTCACTTCCACGGTCTCAGCCCCAGGAAAGTGGCCTCCTTCTGGGTAGCTCACCCCCCTCCCCACTCCCCTGTACTATTTTAAGGTATAGCCCCCTGTTCTCTCCCCAGACCAAATGAGATTCAATTAATTCAATTAAAGCAATTTTGGAAGCAGCTCCTGAAGGCTTTGGATGTGAGATAATTACCAGTAATTTGCTTCTGTGAAGAGGAAAAGGTTACGTAGGGTCTAGAGTGGAGAAAGAGGTAGCCCCCTCCTCACCAAATGCACCCAGATCGAGAAGGATTCCACACAGCAATCTTAGCTGCCCTCTCCCATTGGCCAAATTGCTTGCAGGTGGGAAGAGGGAGACCGTGGCCGTGGGAGGAGGGTGGGAAGACACTGGAGTGACAGGCTGCCCCTCCCCCATCCCTGAATCCGTTGTGCCCGTGTGAGGTGGGGGTGGGGAGCTCCTCCTCCCCCACCCCCACCACACGACAGGGCTCCGCAGCTCCAGCAGCTGATTACTCAGCCCCAGCCTCCCTGGATTTCGGATGCCTGGGCTTGCCTCTGGGATTGGATCCAGAGGCGATGGAATGTTATCCAGGTAGCTGAGGCCTGTGTAGAGGGAGCTTTGGAGATCAAGAACTTCCCTAGAATTTATGGGGGGTATGGGTCAATGGGGCAGGAAGCATTGGAGGTGGGTAGTGACTACCTGTTCTCAAGTCTCACGAGATGCCCTTTCTGTCTCCTCCCACAACCTCTTCCCTTGTACTCCAGCCCTTTCTGGTTCTGCCCAGTGTCAGATCGAAATCCCTTCCATTCTCTCGGTGGCAAATCTACTGTCCGCTTTCTGGCCCCAGGGCCACTAGTTTCTGCCTCCCCGCAACGCATATTACAGGTAGGTGTTCCTGTCCCCCCCTCACTTTGCCTGGGATAGCCCTCTCCTCGCCATCCCCACCTCACTTTGCCTGGGATAGCCCTCTCCTTGCCAGGCCTCAGGTAGTCTGGAAGCTGAGGAGGGTAGGGCTGGTGCTGGAGGAAGCTGGAGTGTCCCATTCCTTGGGATCCCCTGTCCCAGGACATAATGCTTTAACAGTTAGGATGCCAAAGACAAAGTCACTCATCCGGAAATGTCCACCGTGTGCCCTCTTCTGCCTTTGCTTCTCTCATTCCCAGGAGTCAGTCTGTCAGCCCTTTGTTTCTCCCCCCTTCTCTCAGCTGCAGGGCTGCTGGAGGCGGGGCCAGGGAGGAATTCCCTCAGTGAGCCCTTGATGGCTGCTGCCTCTTCACAGTGGGCCAGCTTGGCGAGGGAAGCCTGCGTCTCTACTACCTCGTGCCTCTACCTCCCATGTCCCACCACCACCACCGAGCTCAGATCCAGAACAAATGGAGGAATAGAAAGAACTCCTCATTCCAGAGTTCATGTCAACAGGCCGGCCTAAGGACCCTAGCACAGAGGTAACTTGAGTGTTGGAAAGTGGAGACAAGATCTGTATAGTTCAAGGTCATCCTCAGCTACATAAAGTTCAAAGCCAGCCTGGGCTACATGACACTCTGTCAAGGAATAAGTGGGGAGGGGGGGTTGTGGGGGAGTGCAGAGAAAAAGAAAACTAAGAAAGAGCCTGGTGTGATAGCATCTGCCTTTAATTCCAGCATTCTGGAGTCCCAGGCCAGCCAGAGCTACACAGGGCACCCCGTCTCAAAAATAAGTTAAATAATAAATAAATAAATGTACATCTAAAAAGAAGAAAAGAAATCTGCAGGTTCTCTCCGCCTCATTTCTCACCCTCCCTCTCTCTCTCTGGGTGCAATGTGTGCAGGAACACAGATCTCTTTATTTCGCTCCTCTGGCTTTTTTCTTTACCCCATCCCTTTTCCTGGCTAATGTTTTCTGGACATGTTTCCCTAGGTGTTGCTGGAGAGGGAGGCTGAATGGCCACAGAAATCCCATAAGTTGATGATTTCATTTTCTTTGCTCATAGAAGCCTTGCCAGCTTCATTCTCTGAGCTCTGGCTAGAACCCCCATCCCCAGATCCTCTTGGCACACCCCATGGCTCCCAGACATGCCCATAGCATCTGGTACTGCGACTCATAGGCTAGTTAAGGGTGAGGGCTTTCCTCTGGACTTCTCCATGAATCCTTCTTTTCCCCTGCTCTGACACCGGCTTCAACCTGAAGGAGGGACCAAGGGACCCAGGGTCCCTGGCTGGTAAAGAAGGCTCCAGGCTTGGAGGCCTGTGTTCGCTACTGCTTTCTGGGTGACCTGGACAAGTTACACACTCTCAGAGACTCACATGACTCCCTCTTAGCTAGGGGTGGGTGGCGTTATCATCACTTTCCCTCAAGGCTAGAGTTTTCTAAGGCAGACCTCAGAGTCTCCCGGGAGACTGACAGCTCTCCAGGAATACAACTCTGCTTCCTTGAATCAGATAGGATGCATTCTGTAGCTTTTTGCAACCTCACAGTAGGCTGGAAACGGAGCTGCTGACCCCCTGAGTCACGGAGCCAGGTCTGGCCAGCCCAGAAAGGGTAAAGGAGTGGACCCCATGGAGGATGGCAGGTTTTCTGGTTTGTCTCTTTCTGGTGCCAAGCCTCAGCTTCTCCAGCTCCCAAATGGAGAGAGATGAGTTCACTTCCAGGGAATGGGTGCTGCAGATTCCACACAGGACGCGTCCCCATCTGGACTGGCTCCCTTTCAGAGCTCAGCTGAGACCTTAGGAAGGAGCTTGCCATTGCCCAGAAGGAAACTGTGCTGTCTGTGGCCCCCATCGGCAAGCCCATGACTAAAACACAGGGCAAATGATTAGGTCAAGTGTGCTACCCTGGTCTCTTTCCCTGTCCTGCTTCACGCAAAGGGAGGCGCGATGATTTACGTGCTCCCCCGAGACCGAGGTTGCCAGAGGTCACAGTGAGGCTCCTGGCTCAGTAGCTCCTTCCTCTACTATTTACCCGGCTCCCAACCCTGACGCTCCCTTTATGAGAAGGGGCTGAGCGCAAAGGGGTGGGCAGAGGCCAGAACCTGGATAGGCAGCTCGGATTCTCGTCCCTCCCCTTCCCACCAGTAAGGCCTACACAGCCCGGGCCCATTCCTCTCTCTGGACAGAGGACCAGCTCTTGGTCTCTGCAAGCTGGGGCCTGCCATAGACGGCTCCTCCCAGCCCTGGAGCTGTCGGGAATTCTTTGCACCAACAGATCCTCAGGGAAGCCAGTCTGCAGCAGGCTCCTGACATGCCTCTGCCTCACTCCTGTCACACCCCCTGAGCCCAGGGGGATCAGCTGGGCCCACTGATGAGGGCCTTCCACCCTGTGACCCTAGGCCTTGGTCTCACCTCCTCAAGGCTTATGCCTCCTTCCCCAAACCTGGAATTCTGCCTTAAGACTCAGCTCTGGGCCCTTCCAGCCTTTGGCCAGTCCATCTGGAAAATAAGAAATAAACCCCCTGCACTGCTAAGGAAATTTACCTTCTCTCCTAGACACAATTTATCATTTGGTCCTCTAGAGTGCAGATGCTCAGCCGAGAGGCCCAGGGTCTTTATCCCTCTGGGTCTTTATTTCCCCTTCTCTGCATCAGGGTTAATGAGCAAAACGATGCATCCAGGGGCCAGGGGTTTGGCTCAGTTGGTAGAGCATTTCCTTTCTTCCTTTCATCCATCCTTCCATCCTTCCTTCCTTCCCTTCTTTTTCAAGACAGAGTTTCTCGGTGTAACAGCTCGGACTGTCCTGGAACTCGCTTTGTAGACCAGGCTGGCCTCGAACTCACAGATAACTGCCTGGCTCTGCCTCACGAGTGCTGGGATTAAAGGCATGCGCCACCGCCGCCTGGCCTATCAGCTTGCTTTCTTTTCTTTTCTTTTTTTTTATTTTTATTTTTATTTTGCAATACAATTCAGTTCTACATATCAGCCACGGATTCCCTTGTTCTCCCCCCCTCCCGCTCCCCTCACCTTCCCCCCAGCCCACCCCCCATTCCCATCTCCTCCAGGGCAAAGCCTTCCCCACAGACTGAGATCAGCCTGGTAAACTCAGTCCAGGTAGGTCTAGTCCCCTCCTCCCAGGCTGAGCCAAGCGATCCTGCATAATAGCTTGCTTTCTTATACAGCCCTGAACCACCTGCCCAGGGAACTGCATTTCCCACATCAACCATAAATGAAGGGAATGGCCCCAGACAGGCCCACAGGCCAATCTGATGAAGGCAGTTCCTCAATTGAGGTTCCCTTCCCAGTGACTCTAGTTGTGACAAATACTAACCAGCACAAGGGTACACTTGCACCCCAGGGAACCCAAAAGCATTAAAAACGTTTCCTGAGTTTAAGTCCACCTCCATAACCTTGAACCCCACCTAGAAACTGAAAATGATAACATGTGCTTCATGAGGTTATAGTGGGACTCGGGCTGGGTATAACTCAGTAGCAGGGTGCCTGCTTAGCACGTAAGGCCCCTGGATTCCATTCCCAGCCCTCACAAGAAAGTAGGGGTAGGCCGGGCGGTGGTGGCGCACGCCTTTAATCCCAGCACTCGGGAGGCAAAGGCAGGCGAATCTTTGTGAGTTCGAGGCCAGCCTGGTCTACAGAGTGAGATCCAGGAAAAGGCGCAAAGCTACACAGAGAAACCCTGTCTCGAAAAACCAAAAAAAAAAAAAAAAAAAAAAAAAAAAAAAGTAGGGGTAGGATTAAATAAATAAAAACACGAAACTGGACTGGTGGGGTGGCCCAGTGTGTAAGGTCACCTGCCACTACCAACATGACTACCTGAGTTCAACCCCAGGACCCACATGGCGGAAGAAAAGCAGCTCCTGAATGTTGGCCTCTGACCTCAGTGTTGGCCTCTGACCTCCTGCGTGTGAGCTCGCACATGGATCAGTGAATACACTCAATACAAATAGTGTTTGAAAACTCCACAGAGTGTGGCACTGTGGTGACCGCTGAGCAGGAGAACCTTGTCGTCAGAGTCTCAGCCGGCCCCCCTGTGCTTCTGTCGGTCTCTGCTCCAGAGCCTGCCTGGGGGGGGGGGGGGGGGTCTGCTGCCAGCAGAGCCTGAGTGTGAGCAAGATGTGAGCAGTCTCCCTCAGACTTCCAGCAGCGTGTGTGAGTGAGGGAGTGTGAACTGCTCTGTGGTGAGGGGAGGCAGTCACACAGGAGGTGGCGAAGGGGAAGGTCCTGCTGTGCTTCCAGGACAGTCCACTGGGCCTGAGGAAGATAGCTTCCAAGGAGGTGAGGTCGAGCCTGAAGGTCACAGCTAACACCGAGGCAGGCAAGGCCTCTGACTTCTTTTATTTGTTTATTATTTATTTGTTTGTTTATTTGGTTTTTAAAAACAGGGTTTCTCTGTATAACAGTCCTGACTGCCCTGGATCTCGCTCTGTAGTCCAGGCTGGCCTCAAACTCACAGAGATCTGCCTGCCTCTGCCTTCCAAGTGCTGGGATTAAAGGTGTGCACCACCACCATCTGGTTTTTTTTTTTTTTTTTTTTTTTTTAATTATTTTGTTTTGGGACAGAGTCTTCATGGCCAGGCTACTCTCAAAGTCACAACTCTCCTACATCCTCCTTCTGAGTGTTGAGATTGCAGGTATGTGCCACCATGTCAGCCCAACTTCTTCATTCATGAAACACCTCCCTACCTCCAACCCCAGAACACTTCCATCAGGCGTGGGAGAAGGGGAGAGCAACTGTTTTCTTTGGTAGTTGATTGACATCTAGAAATTCCTGGAACTCTACAGAACTGAACACACACACACACACACACACACACACACACTCACACACACACACATACACACACATGCACCCTCACACACGCTCTCACACACACCCCTCCTAAGATTAGGAGGCATACTATGATGGCTAAATACAGCATAAATATACGGCCTCAGTAACAGTTCTCTGGTGTGGCAGTAAAAGAGGGACCGTCCCCCCTTACAAGGGAAATGTAAAACAACAAGCAACTGTCAGGGGCACCCGTGGCTCCTCCACTGTCCTTTCTGCTGGTCCCAGGATAAGCTCTGTTCTAAGTGACTGTCCTTTTACAAAAGCTGAAGCACGGCAGATTTACATCGGACTCAATAAAGCACTTTTACCATAGAAGGAAGAATTCTTTTTAGAACTTGTGCTCATGTGTGCGCACGTGTGTGTGTGTGTGTGTGTGTGTGTGTGTGTGTGTGTGTGTGTGGAGAGAGAGAGAAAGCATGCATTCATGAGTGGTGTGTGTGTGTGTGTGTGTGTGTGATGTTTGCAGGCACAAGGTTGCTACAATTTTTTGGTAGCTGGTTCTCTCTATCCCTCTTGTTTCTGCTGTACGGCACCCTCCAGGCTAACTGGCCTAGGGCCTTCGGCCGTTCTGGGGCTATTCTGTTTCTGCCTCCCACCTCACTGTAGGAATGCTTGAATTACAGATATACACCCATCCTTGTATCAGGCTTTTTTTTTAAAACATTGATTAGTTTCAGGAACCAAACTCAGGTCTCCTCCGGCTTGTGTGGCGAGCACTTTTATCCACCAAGTCATCTCACCAGCCACATAAAGAAGAATTCTACAGGA